CCTAAAATATCCCAGGTTGTACAAAGGAGTCCAGCAGCTCCCGTAAAGGCCATACCAACTCAAGCCTCTGAAGGTTCCCGTGTGTGCAACCTACCACTTCCCAGCCTGACTCACTAAGGCTGAAAGGGTCAGGTACAGACACATCCAGAACCCCAGGGACAGAGACTGTAGCACCCATGGGCCTCCCTTTGCAGCAGTGTGGGTGAGGCAGCAGGGAGAAGGACGAGCATGCCAGGTCGGTCTTTCTGCAGCAGAGGTGCACCTGCTGCTGGAGTCTCTGAGGTCAAGCAGAGTGATCCGCCCCTCCCACCCCCCGCTTTTGCTGTTCCCTGCTTAGGTGTAAGCTCCCTGCATCACCTGAGCACCCTTTCAGTCAAACCCTAGCTCCTTGGAAAGTTCTGCCTGAGCTTGAAAAGCTCCCATTTCTTCTGTAAGGGAAGCCCTAAGGGCCACATCAACCGAGAACTTAAGGAAAGCACACCTTGTCACATTGTGTGTCCCCGCTTCCATCTCTCACACTCTGTCTTCTGATTTGTATGTGTTACTTCCTAAGACTATCTATTTTGGATCTGTGCATATGCCTCACAAGGGGGTTCCATATACATAATATGAATCATAAGTTGCATCAGAACACTTCCATTGACTTCACCTGTTAGTCTTCTTCTTTCTACTGCTGTGTCACACTTTCCTCTTCAGGGCTCATCACCCTGGGACTAGAGACACCACTAAGGTGAGTAATGCAGACCTGACTCTTTTCATGATAAGAGTATTTGCTCCTCATCTGTCAAATTCCTCACACAATTCATTTCATTCCGTGTCCTCTCCCACCCTCCACATCTCGTACCGTCCTCTGATGGGTGAGTGCACAGTCAAAGCAGGAAGGAGGAGTGGGCTGGGTGCTGGGTGTGGTGGGATGAGGAATCAGGGGGGTAGGGCGAAGGTAGATAAAGCCATTGCCCCTCACTCTCGTGAGCACTATCCTAATGATAGCAATCGGTTCTCATCAGGGTGTATTTTCGGCTACCAGGATGTCTGGCTCACTGGGGCTGAATAATTAGTTCTGATGAAGGGGCCTCAGCTTAATGAATCACTCCTGCTAGGCTAGTGGTTCTTAAGAAAATATGGAAGAACTGTTCAAACAAAGGCGAGATCAGCAGGAGTCAGACATGGGGCAGGGTTTCAAGCCCAAGGGAATGGCGAGATGCTTGGACAGGGAGATTGGGGGAAGTCCTAGCTTTCAGCCTGATCTGGAAACTGGACTCAAATGATTCAAAACTCACCTGTTTCAAAACCTTTTAAATAACTGTGCATTCTCAGTGCTCCTTTAACAATCTCTAAAGTAGATAAGGCAAGCACTATCAATTCCATTTTGTAGAGGAGAAAATTGAGTCTAAAGAAGAGTGGGTGACGTGCTCGGACACAGAGCCACCACTGATAGAGTCCTTAATGAGGACCTTGTGACATTCCATTCTCGGTCACTGCTTATGGCTGGCCAGGCAGGCTAAACGCCCTCTCCTTCACTCCCTGGAAAGAGCTAGGTGTGAACCAGTTGATGCGTCCTGTGGCCTATTTGAATTGTCATGGATGTGAGTTTAATTCTCTTGCTGAGTGGCCATCCATAGGACGCTTGTAATACATTCAAAAGAAACACAGTCAGCGTGTGGGCATTGTGGACTACAGGTTCCACTCATTCAAATGTTCGCCCTCATGCTGATTTCTGAGCTCTGAGCTTTTAGGAATGGACACTTTCCTTCCTTTCTCCTTCAAGTCCTCATCGGCAAATGTGGCCAGGGAGAAGCAGAGAGAATTAGCGTTTACTAGTTCTCAGCATCCTTCCACCACCAGCCCCCAACTGAAGACTTTGGACTGGTGCCTAAGGGGATAAGTAGCAGGGGAAATGGGAAGGGGGCTGAGAGGCCAGGATCAAGGCGGGGAGAGAAAACACAAAGCCGGGCATGCTGACCCTGGGACAAAGTGGAGCTTGTGGGCTCACTTAGTGCTAAATCAGGTGAGGGACATACAGGAGAGAAAGATGAAAACAAACATACATGCTACACAGTACCTATATACAGTTTGTATACTGCCTTTCACAAACACTTCAGGAGGAATGGATACATAAAGATAACAAAAACCAAAGGTGCGACGAAAGGGTCGGGGGGTGGGGGGTGGGGGGCTGGAGCTTGAGGAACACGGAGATGCGTTCTCTGGTGTGTTTCTGGATGCAATGGTGGGGCAGTGAGGGAGCAGGTAGTGCCCCCCTTGGTCCAGGGCAGATGGACATACTCTTAGCGTGTGCTAAACTGGATAGCGATTTGGCAAAAGATTATCAACACGGTTTCGTCCCCACTGAAATGTCCCTCTCATGCCTCCAGCCTGTATTTCACATGGTGAAAGCGTGTTCAGGAAGGTCTAGGACCCAATGGCACGATGAGAGGGCAAGGATTCCAGAACCACTGCGACTCAGAATAAAAGGAGTGGGCCTCTACCCATCTCCTGTAAATTCTGCCACCTGAGCAGACAGGTTCTGGGAACCCCGGTTAGTTCACAATGGGAAGCAGCCTCCTCCCTACCTCCATTCGACGTGCACCGTCCAGTCCGATGGCCAGGCACATCCAAAAAGGTTTCAGATTGTGGACAAGTAAGTTGATGGCAAAATGACTATAATCTAGCTTGTTCTACAGGAAAACGGTCTCCATCAACTTCATGTCTTCCTACCAAATCAATGCTCTCTCTTATTTTGCCCAAAGTGGCCTGATGGCTCTGTGCTGACGTGTTTTCTGATAAATGAACATGATGTTGAAAATTCTCTAACACAATGCATTATTTTTCAAAGAGCTCTCATCCATGGTGAGTGTCAACAATGAGTAGAAAAGTCTCTGCAACATGTGGATTAGTCTAGCTAGAGAAGATAGTCCAGAACCCCCATCCTGCACACTAATCCTGTTGCCCTCGTCCCAGGGGACTGGGACGTCAGCGCAGCATTTCAGGGAGAAGGCCCTCCAACAGGGCCTCTCACCTGAGGTGAAGAAATAATTTCTGAGGCCAATGAATTTGGAAAATGTTGTAAATTTTCTCTCTCGAGATTTCACAGGGTAAAGGTTTCAAGAATTTCTGGATCTGATTTCCACAGATACCTTGAACCAATTTTTTTTCTCTTTGTTCAACCTAATCTTAACTATAACTAATGAACACCTACTCTCACTGGACCCCTGGAAACGGGAAGGTAGGAAGGTCCCCTCTGCTGCCCTTGCGTGAGCACCAGCAGGCTGATGGAGGGATGGGAAGCAGAGGTTTGAATTGCCACACGAGGGGTCTGAGGAAAAGGGCAGATTTATGACACATGCCTCACTGCTTTCCTTGTCACAAATGCCAGCTATTTCACTCTTTAAAAAAAAGTTTTCTGCTTCTCCCAACTCTCATCTTGAGATGGCTTCAGGGGAAAAGGCCAGGGAATTAGACAACAGGGATAAAGACCATTGCAAAAGCCCTTTATGCATCGAATCAGAAGACAGATGGGGTCAAAGGAGGAAGGAGACGGTCTACGGAAACAAAGGCTGCTGTGGAGGGAGGGCAGGAGCTGGGTGAGGTGGGAGGGCAACAGGGAGAGCAACAGCTTATGCAGGACCAGGAAGGGAGGGGTCATGGCTGGCTCATCCAAGGCTATACATGCAGACACCTGCCAACAAACCAGAAAGGCCTGACAGATGTGAGGGCCATTATGAGGAGCCCTGTGTGAGAGACGCCAGGCAGATCAATCATTCCTCTTAGATGCCTGCCCATTCTGTGCACCAGTTCTGCAGTCAGGGGTTGCCTTTTCTGTCTGGTCTCTAGCTAATGCTGGGCATCACTAGCTGTAGATGTGCTTGGAAGCGAGCACCGAGCAATAAGAGTAGTCCAGGCTGATCAGCCCGTGGAAGTGGAAGGCACTGTCCCATCTGCCATGAGTTTGTGGCAAGGGATGTGGGCACTGGGAAGTGACGGGTTCACTGAGGCATTCTCAGTAATGCCTCATCCTCCCAAGCAAGAGTGTGTGTTTAACTTGGGAACTTGGGGAAACTGATTTGAAAAATCCTGAGATGCTCTGGACTTGCTCAACAAGAAATCAGAAAGGAGTCCTGGGTCCAGGGCTGCAAAGAAACACTAGAGTCCTGGAGGATTACCCAGCTCTGAGGCCGAGTTCTGTGGAGCTCCTCCACTTCCAGGAGTGCAGGCATCCAGGTCTTTTGGGGTGGTTCTCCTTGCTTGCTTCAGCTACCAATAGAGCAGCAAGACAAGGATTGAGGTGCATACATTTGCCTTGCTCACATTAGTCCCTTAGTAAATGTTTGTTTAATGAATCAATGCATGAATAAATAGGTAAATCTGCCAGGAAGGCAGCTTGAGTGGATATGTATCTCAATTTAGCCAGACCGCATCTTTGATACAAAGAGAGTTTGGGAAATCCCTCTGATGGGTTGCTCTCCTTTTGATGCTAATATTATTGAGGATCCCAAGGCCCACGATTCACTTTTATAAATACAATTCCATTTTTCTTATCTCTCAACACCTGGAAAAGAGAACATTTCACAAGGATGTAGTAAATAAAGAATTAAAATAGAAATCATTCCTTTCTAGTCTCTTTACCATCATACCCAATTATAGCCCCCATAGTTATAATCCTGAGCAGATATCCTTAAAGAAGGAAATTATCTATCTATCTATCTATCTATCTATCTATCTATCTATCTATCTATCTATCTATCTATCTATAACTTAATCCCAGCATCCAAACATTATTGTTCCTATTTCAAGATTGCCTCACAAAACAAGAGATGCAGGGGCATTCGTCACTCCCAGTGTCGACTCTCACGTTGGCACTGACCCTGCCTCTCTCCTTTCACAGGTCTCATGCACTCACCCCGACCTAAGTAAACTTCATTCTCTAAACCTTGCCCGTACGCCAGCCCCGAGATCCCCGACAGGCACCCCCTTGTAGGGCCCGGCTCGGGCTTCAGTCTCACCAAACAGTGTGATGCTGGCATTCGTGTAGCCCAACTTATTGGCCGCCACACAGGTGTAGTTTCCATAGTCGTGCTCAGAGACGTTGTAGAAGATGAGCTTTGAGAGGAAGGGTCTATTTTCCACTTTGACCCCCTTCTTTCCTTCAATCAGCCTGAGGCAAACCAGAGGAAGATGAAAAAGGAGAAAGGACTGGTTAGATTCCCTTTTTAAGAACAGGAGGAACTCTGGAAGAAAGCGATCTTCACGTAGCCTGCGTTCGGACGTAAGTAGGACCACTCTCTTTTCTACCCCATGATGCACTAAGTTCATAAGATGACACGCATCCTTGTGTTTCTGTCTGACCTGTCTGCCTACAGAGATGTCCCATTGGGGTGTTTTCTTCCCGTACAAACA